GATCGGCCCCCTTTCCAGAGATGCAGGCACAGCTACTGTAGAACACCAAACACACGAACCGCCAATAAGTGAATGCTGCAAACTCCCGAACGGCATCTAATATAGCACTCCAAATACACGAACAGGAACCATACGAATTGCTGCTACCAGACGAATAGGAAAAGCATCCAAGCGGCTTACACTCCTAGCAATCAGTCTCTATCAGCATTCAGTAAATCCCCCCCAAAGACGAGACAAGGCTCAGTGTTGAGGTTCAAGCAGTGGTCTGTTTAATGAGGGCTACCTGCCCAGTATTTATGCAGGTCTCCCACCTGGTGGACAGTCCCTTAGGGGACCAAATGGGAGACTGTGACAAGGGACAGACAAGCAGACAAATAGGACACACAGTCACAATATATTCCCACAATGCATCCTGGCTTCCTCCCCTCTGCCCTGGGAGATAATTGAGAAGTAATTCAATTATCTCCCAAGACAAAGGCAAATCTCCATTATGCACGTGGGGATACTAAAACAAGCATTACTGTTAAAATACACCATGTGAGACACATAACATTAAAACTATACATTTAACATATCCCCAGATAGCTCAGGTCTGAGCGCGCATTATTAAGCGAATGGCGCTCAGACCACACGAATACAGTTTAATCGCCATGGAGCCAAAGTCTTTACAGTCAGTTTCATACGAATGGGCTCCATGGGATTCCTATCTGGGATATAACACATTCAAACAAAACTACCGAACACCGGGCCATTCGTGCACTTCCACCGAACAAGAAGGGAGGTCGGCGGCTTCGCGCAAAACTGTGTCCGATTGTAGTTCCATGAAAATAGAGACGAACACCGCTGTGCATTCGTATGTTTAAAATGGCCGTGACCTCGTGTTCAGGATACGAATGGCAGCCACCCAGCATTCGTCAATTAAGCTGCGGTTAACCGCAGCTTCAGGGAGGTTAATTGCCAGCACACTCCAGCTCCCAGGTTGTCTATTCATTCGTGCGGTTGTTCGGTAGACTGAATCTACCGAACAACCGGCAGAAAAGCACGAATACAGCTTTTCTGCAGGCGAAACAAAGTCTTTTAACATGGGGCCATAGTCCAGAGGCAGCAGGCGAGCAACCAGGCTTCTACAATGCAATGTGGCGAGATTGGTCTCATCACATACCTTATGTTTTATAGGTTGTTGTGTTAATTGTGTGGGTGTCTCCCTTGCATGGGCAGCATCACATAAAAGGAGAGCACCTGCCATTAAAATTCAGTTCTTCTTGATCCTTCAAAACGTAGCCTTGTCGCGTTCTTGAAAGGGGATATGCAGCTTAATCACCTAACTCTTTTAAGAGCTCTGCCTGACTCTTGCCTTGGATCCAGTGAATGGGAATAAGCAACTTCACCACTACACAGCGACTTGCCGGGGAGAAAAGGACGTCTCCAACGGCTGATACCCTCTTACTACCTGGGTAGCCGTTACAGATTGTATACTATGTATGGGAGTGTCATGTATTATAATTCTGTCACTAGTCTGTGACTTTGTAATAGTCTTCCTGATGGAAGAGTACCCCTTGCATGGGGACTGACATAAAAGGCCAAGTGTGGTCCCATTAATATCACTTCCTCTTCACCCTCAACATAGAGCCTCGTCTCATGTGTGGAGGGGACAGTTGTATCTACTCTGGGGTTTGCTATATCATGTTACTCCCCTGGGTTAAAATCATTTGCTCTTTTAAGAGCAGCCTGCTACACTCTCTGGAGTAGGAGAGGTCTACCCACAGGAAGCTGTAGCCTTGTCTAAGGTCCAGAGTGGGTAGAGGATGGCGAGACTCCAGCCAAGCTGCGGCGGCTAAAAGGTCTATGGTGCTGATGGTGTCTGGAGTGCTGGAGTACTCGATGAACACTAGGGAACAGCAATTGGTGGAGGCACCTGGTCGGTGTGCCAGGCGGTCCATCACACATAGTGTAGCAGAGCTCCATGTACCCCGACTGGGTACCTCCGCCAAAGGACCGCTTCCTAGCTGGAGCAGGGGACAAACCACAGCACTTCTGCCCACGGTCGCCATGTGCTAGACTAGGGCCCTAGAACCACTCCTTCCTTGAGCCGAATGGGGAATTAGCTTTAGTCCTTACAAGGACTTTTTCCAGTTGAATCTCCTGTAAGCTGGAACAGCAGTCACAGCAACAAATCTTCTTTCCCTCCAATAACAGGACGACACACAGTTTTGGAGTGCAAGCAGGAACAGGTTTAATGAGCACACAGGCATTTCTTTTATACATGTAACGGCACCCACAGCATCAAATGTACAAACCGCCGTTTAGTGAATCCTCCCCTCTCACCATAACGCAAGCTTCATTCGTATCAACTGCAATCATATGAATTGCAAGCAGGGGAATGTTCCAGTCTCCCGAACGGGACCCGTACGGGTACTTCACTTCCCGATCTCCAAAACCACGAATCGCCCCTGGTAGCCGAACTCCTATATCTCCCAAGCGGCTAATATTCCCATCCGGCAGTCTCTGTTCGTCGGTAATAAATCCCCCCAGTAACGAGACCAAGCTCCGCATTGAGGGCAAAACATGAACTGGGTTTACTGTGGGCTACCCGCCTATATTTATGCAGGTCTCCCACTTGGTGGACACTCCCCTAGGGGACCAAATGGGAGACTGTAATAGCAAATGGACATATGGCATGTTAGGGCACACAGGCACATAATATTCCCAGCATGCATCATGGTTTCCTCCCCTCTGCCCTGGAGATAATTGAGAAGTAATTCAATTATCTCCCAGGACAGAGGCAAATCGCCATTTTAGATACAACCCCAAAAAACACATAAAAATATATAACTTTACAATTGCCGAACATTTCTCATTCGTGTAACATATCGTGTAACATATCCCCAGATAGCCTGGATCTGAGTGCATATTATTGGCGAATAGCGCTCAGATCCCATACGCATAGTTCAGTCGCCATGGAGTCAAAGTCTATTACAGTCGTTCGGTAGTTTGGTTCGGCAGAAAAGTCAAATAAACTAACAGGGGCATACGGACAGGTAATTCCACGAAACAAGGCAAAACAGACGAACCAGCAATTCCAGTCTATACAGATAGATTTGTCACAATACACACCCCCTGGACCTGAGGGACACAAACCAATAGGAACAGTAATTAACATCATAACACTCCCACATACAGTCAGAAATCCCTCCCCTCTGCCTGTGATATAATTAAGTTAGCTAACGGAATAACCTAATTATCCACAGGCAGAAAATATACATTTTACCGCAAAGTCCAGAAACACCTCAAACCACAAACATAGCCCCATAAATTATAAATCCATGGATAGCTCTTATCTGGGTGAACAACATATCTAAATAATCACCCAGATCAGAGCAAGGGTTCCCGAATTCTATGGAAGTCACATTAAACCGACCGCTTGCATGGCTTTCATGCCCAAAATAGTTCCACAGATTTAGGCTGTGCGGCTGGTCTATCCTTAAAATATCTCCTTAAAATAAGGTACAAAATGCACAAACTGATCCGTTCGTGCATACGGTCATTAGATGTGTCTTGTACGGGAGTTTACTTTCACTAAAAAACACTCGTATGGATTTAACCAAACGCACGTTAGGTGGAAGTCCCAGCGGAGTTTGTGCTTTTGAGTGTCTGATTTCAGTTCCAGGCACTCAAAGGAAAAATACAGCTGAGAGGGTTTGGCTAAACAAAATGGCCACTGCCACATGTTCGTTCAGACGAATGCTGACCACCCAGTCGTTCGCCAGTTAAGCTGCAGTTAACCACAGCTTCTGTGTGGTTAACAAGAACCACATGCAGGGTGGTCGGTTGTTTGTAGTTTGTTCGTCTGTATGCACAACATTATCCTGGCTGTAATAGACGTGTAATTCGCTGAGCTAATTAACGAAATTATCAGGGAGAGTTTAACATCCAAGCAAATAAGGAGCAATATGAAATCCAGGGACATAAAGGTCTTTCACAAGTGCCTCAAAACCCAATAAATCACCGGGGCCATAATCACAGGGCAAGAGGCTGGCAAGCAGGCCTCTCCAAAACCCAGTGGCGAGTTCCCTTTTGCCACACATAGGTACTATTTATATATCTTTTTATCCCCCTTGTTGCAGACATAAATTCTTGATAAAAAAAAAAAAATGGAACCCAATGTGGCGGAACCAGCCTCGCCACTGGGCATTGGAGAAGACTGATTGCCAGCCTCCTGCCATGTGACCATGGCCCCTAGGATGTATTGCCTGCTCTCCTGTACTGCTGATGATTTCTACCAACTAGGTGGATTTGGCTATGGAGCTTGTGTAGTGCCCTAATATGCACTACCTGAATAGCAAGACTGGTAATTTGCATATTCGGGTAGATTTGCATATCGCTAATTCTGAATGCAGGAGAGACATTTTGTGTTAATTATGGTCTTCCCCACCCATTTATAAATATGTAATTATGTTATAATAAGTCACTGTATGTTGCCTGCTATAATTTGACTGTTTGTAATTTTATTGAGTTTTCACAGCAATGTTAATGTAATGACCATATGGGCTAGTCCCAAGTAAAAAACGTTTTAGACAGTTCTACTTCATCCTCAATTTGGAGTGCCGTCTTTTATTGGGGAAATCTGCTTCAAGGGATTGCTATGCTTGTCATACTCCCTTGCTAAATCACTACTAAGCTCTTGTAAGAGCTTGTTCCTGCCTTGTTCCTGGTGGAGTCTACAGTGGTTATGGTGTCTGCTGCAGTGCTTGGAGCCCTCAGGAAGTGCTAGAAACATCCATCAACGGAGGTACCCAGTCGGGGTGCCTGTCGATCCGTTACACTCTGCATTGTTTACTTAACCCACGTTTTTTTAGTCATTGAATAGAATTGAATAAAGAAACAAAAATGCCTGAGCTTTGCATTTTGTTACAAAATGGAGTCACATCTGTGGTGGCTTACAATATACATTTTTAATTTCTATCTTAGCTGTCAGTATAAATATCTGACACAATCAATAAGATACTTCATAGTTACAGTTCTGATTATTTTTTCTAAGTATCGTAAGCTTAAAGCAATAGATTTTTTTTAACTCCCAGTACATTTCTTTCAGATTTTTCCCAGCAGTAAAAGTTAGCAAGAAGGACCTGAGAAGAACAGAAATACAGTAAGCAAGACTATGAAGAAATCTTTCAATACAAGGACCAAAAATTCCAACTCTAAAAGCTCAAGAAATCTTTTACAACCGTATATGTCTACAAATGAAATAGTAAACAGAAAATCAAAGCTTTTCCCCTGTACTGAATGTGAAAAATGTTTTAACAATCACGCAAATCTTGTTGTGCACAATAGAACTCACACAGGAGAGAAACCTTTCTCATGTTCTGAATGTGGGAAATGTTTTAGCAGTAAATTACGTCTTGTTGAACACCAGAGAACTCACACAGGAGAGAAACCGTTCTTGTGTTCAGAATGTGGGAAATGTTTTCTCTGTAAATCACATCTTGTTGAGCACAAGAGAACTCACACAGGAGAGAAACCGTTCTCATGTACGGAATGTGGAAAATGTTTTATCCGTAAATCACATCTTGTTAGACACAACAGAATTCACACAGGAGAGAAACCTTTCTCATGCTCAGAATGTGAAAAATGTTTTAGCTATAACTCCGTTCTTGTTGTCCATCAGAGAACTCATACAGGAGAGAAACCTTTGTCATGTTCTGAATGTGGGAAATGTTTTAGCAGTAAATCAAGTCTTGTTGAACACCAGAGAATTCACACAGGAGTGAAACCGTTCTCGTGTTCTGAATGTGGGAAATGTTTTGTTAGTAAATCAGAGCATAACAAACATCAGAGAACTCACACAGGAGATAAACCGTTTTCATGTACGGAATGTGGAAAATGTTTTCTCCGTAAATCACAACTTATAAAGCACAACAGAACCCACACAGGAGAGAAACCGTTCACATGTACGGAATGTGGAAAATGTTTTATCTGTAAATCACAACTTGTAAGCCACAACAGAACTCACACAGGAGAGAAACCGTTCTCATGTACGCTATGTGGAAAATGTTTTATCCGTAAATCACAACTTGTAAGCCACAACAGAACCCACACAGGAGAAAAACCGTTCACATGTACAGAATGTGGGAAATGTTTTATCTGTAAATCACAACTTGTAAGACACAACAGAACTCACACAGGAGAGAAACCTTTCTCATGTTCAGAATGTGGGAAATGTTTTAGAGTTCAATCAAGTCTTAGTATTCATCAGAGAACTCACACAGGTTTATTGTCATGTTAATCACCATTGTGCCCTTATTGCATTTAATAGATTGAAGAAACAAACATAAAAAACAATTTTAAACTAACTTCTCATTTTTTAAAGGGAATTCATTTTTTTGAGAACAAACACTTCCCTGAGATGATCACTTTCGGATCAAATAAAGCACACACAAAAAAAAAGCATTGTTACAGTAATGTAATATAGCCAAATGCAAGAAACATACTTAGGCACTATACACTAAATGGTTAAAAAAAATGCACCATAGAGTGTAAGTATCCAGGAGCTAAATCAGTAGAAGTAGATATGTATGTATGTATGTAGAAATGTATGTATGTATGTAGAAATTGGGGATGCACCCTAAGGCGATATACCATTCTCCATCCTGTAAGAGCAACCCTATTAGTGCAATTTATATAAAAGGAATTCATTCTGGGATATTCCTGGAGGAAGCTGTCACCACTATCCATTTAGATAAGTGTATTTTTTATCACACTAATGAATTTTGAGTGTAGATAAAATTATTCTAACATTCTTTAATAATAACCCACAGATTAATATTCATGTCTTCTTTTGTGCACATTCAGAATGGGGAAAGCACACCTTAAATAACAAGAGTAAAAATATGGTTAGTGCAAGCTGTTTGGAAGGAATTGTGAAGTCAATGGTATTGAGTCATAACTAGGAGGTGTGACATATCTATGGACTTGTTAATTTGAAAATAAAAATAATAGATGCATGAATTATTACTGTAGCAAGCACAAGAGAAAATAAAATATTTCTATTTGGATTAGTGTTGGTCTGAAACATGAGGGGGTAGCCACTTATTGTTTCCTTCACCTATACCAATTCTGGGCCTGTTTTGAAATTTGAGATGAATATAGGAGGTATAAATCTAATGATGGGCAAATGTCTAGTGTGCATACTAGGAGCTAAAATCGAACTTTGAGTAAGTCTTATGGGTATTTGCAGATATGACAGGATTTTAGATTGGAAATTGTATTTCTTAAACTGTTATGTTATGTATAACAAATATTACTAAACATATTCTAGCTAAACAATTTTAATACTAACTACACAATTAACTTTGCAGTAGTAATCGTATATTTACCATGATTGCAGTAAAGACATATCAAAGGATATGCAATTTGAATCTAAGCAGTCTTAGAAAAGAAAAAATAGTAAAACTGCCTGTGCCCCTGTACTGCTACATCACTGCTATCCCCAAAGCACTCAAAAAATCAACTGTCCAAACCTCCACAAAACAGCTGCACAATAACCATAGTAACATGTCCCTCCTTTCAGCCTATTCCCTGCCTATTAATCTGACTCTGAATTGGTTAAACTGGTTTGTTAACCTTTTTAGTCCATAGAACTGGCATTTATGCATTGAATATCTGTTAAATTGTGAACTAATAACTTTGGGAGTTATGGGTATAAAAGCACAAATGTTGTGTTAACATGTTTGTCAATTTACCAATTGATTTGTTTCCTTGGACCTTCTTTTTATCTCGCACAATGGAGGGACTTTCCAAACATAATTAAAAATGTTCCAATTTAATCACATTAGCAGCTCGCAGAGTCATTGCAGCAGGTCGGCTCAAAAGGGATCTCTTAAGATTACAGATGTTATTACAAAAATAGAAGATAATGCAGTCATGGATGAATTGACTTCTAAAGTCAGACATTCACAGGATACATTTTCAAGAATCTGGAATCCCTGAAGAGAACTTACATCCAACCAACCAGTCTTTATATTTTTTTATGACTGACAATGTGTATATGGGATATGTGCAGTGTTATATCACTTCCCCATCTTCTTTCTTGTTCTTTAAATATTTCTGTTATTTTCTTTGTTTTTTAAATTAATAAAGCAGAACACAGATAATAGTATAATATATATTATTTCAGCAATATACATAATAAAGAGAGGAAATGAGGAAATTTACTTTATATCTTAGATACTCTAAACTCAAATGCAAAATATATCATACATTTTTCATAGCTAACATTAATTTCATTTTTTCCTTTGTCAATGAGGTACTATTTATGTATTAAGGTTTTTCTCCATATTGACAATTATCATAGACTGTAATATGACTTATCTTAAATAAAGAATTTAAATAAAAAAAATTGTCATAAGTAATAACTATAACAAATAACAAGTCATGCCTCATCTTTGTCATGGCCTTATCTATTTGTCAAGTTTTAGTCTAAATAATAACAAATCATGTCATAAAAGATAATGTTAATATTGTATATGCACCACTTGGGGCAGTAGTATTCATTAAAAGGAGAGTTAAGGTAGATTTAACCTATTCCCTTGCCCAGGATGTAGACCAGCAGCTATCATTCTCTCCAAGGGCTGGGGGCATGTATGAGTTATACTGTATGTTTGTATTGTACTGTAATTCAATGTTACTGCTAACATTTGTTATAGTTTGTTACTGTGGCGGAAACAGCCTCGCCACTGGGCATTGGAGAAGACTGATTGCCGGCCTCCTGCCCTGTGACTATGGCCCCATGTTGAAAGGATGGATTTTCCCCTGCAAAGACCCAAAAGCTGGGTCTTTCGGTACTTTCCCTATGTGAGCAGTGTTACCCAGATAGCTATGCCTTGGAGCCCATTTGTATAATGAAAGACTATGGGAAAGACTTTGGCTCCATGGCAATTGAACTGTATGTGTGTGCTCTGAGCGCCATTCAGTAATAATGTGCGCTCAGATCTGAGCTATCTGGGGATATGTTGAATGTACCTGTTTTGTGCAATGGCTGCACAGTTATAAGTTTTTATGTGTTTTATTGTCTTTTGCTGCCATGTGGCTAATGGAGTTTTGCCTCTGTCCTGGAGATAATTGGAGTACTTCCCCAATTATCTCCAGGATAGAAGACTCTGTGGAACTGGTTTTGGGCAGAAAAGCCATGCTGTATTTGGTCAAATAGGACTTTTCCTTAACTTTTGAACCACTGGACCAATATGTATGATTTTGACATATGTTTGTATTTAGAGTATGCTGATTCTGAAAACGTATTATGTGAATGTGATGCATACTTTTCAAGTTATGAATAATGTAGAAAAACTGTATTTCTCTGGCTGTGATAATTAGATTAACCATTGTGTTCAGTAATCATATCACAGCCAGAGGGGAGGATTTTGTGTGGGAGTGTCTTTCTGTAATGTACGTGTTTTATTGGTTGTTATGTAAAACCCTGTGGGCAGTACTAACTTTGTGGATTGAGAATAAAAGAGGCTGTATGTGCCAGTCCAGTCAGTTCCTGCTTAATCCTCAAATTGAAGTGTCGTCTCATTATTGGGGAAGGATTTATTGTATGCTGTTCCAGTTTGACTGCTAGGAGTCTAAACCCATCCGTATGGTTTTTGCCTATTCAGCTGTTTATAGCATTCATATGCTTGAGAGAAGGTATACGCTTCTTCGGTTCGGTGGTTTTGGTGTCTGCTGCAGTGCTTGGAGTCCTCATGAAGTGCTAGGAGCATCCTTTAACAGAGGTACCTAGTCGGGGTGATCCGTTACAGTTACTATAATTTTTTTGTAGTAAATTGACGTTTAATATTAAAAAAATTTTGGTATATTGTATGCACATACTTGACCATAATATCAAGAAATAAAAAAAATCATGTTGAATCATATTGCTTACTTATTGTATAATTAACAAATTAATATTCCTATTTAAGTCTCTACCTCAACAGTAGCTACCTACTAATCTCTGCTGAAATTAAAATCAAGATATCAGCGCTTAGTAGATATTCCCATATAGTCCAAAATATTAATTACAATAAAGAGTTTTGTAACGGATCGCCTGGCACCCCGACTGTGTACCTCCGTTGAAGGATGCTCCTAGCGCTTCCTGAGGACTCCAAGCACTCTGGCAGACACCACAATCACCGAACCGGAGAAACAAATAAATTATCCCAAGCATATGAATGCTGTAGACAGTTGAATAGGAGCCATACCAATAGGTTTACTCTCCTAGCAGTCAAACTGGAACAGCATACAATAAATCCTTCCCCCAATAATGAGACAACACTTCACTTTGTGGGTTAAAACAGGAACTCCCTGTACTGTCACATACAGTCTCTTTTATTCCCAATCCACAAACATAGTACAGCCCACAGGGCGTTACAAAACAACCAATCAATCCGTACAATACACCCAGACACTCCCACACAAAATCCTCCCCTCTGCAGGTGATATGATTACTGAACACAATGGGTAATCTCATTATCACCGGCAGAGGAATACAGTTTTTACACAATATTTATAACTTCTAAAATATACATGTCACAAACATAAAACATACATTTTCATAATCAATCCATTCAGGGGAACAACATATTAAAAAATGGCACGAATCAGACCAGGGGTTCAAAAGTTAAGGGAAAGTCCTTTGTGACTAAATGAAGCATGGTTTTCCGGCCCAAACCAGTTTCAGAGTCTTCTATCCTGGAGATAAGTGAGAAGTAATTCAATTATCTCCCAGGACAGACACAAGACTCCATTATGCACATGGTGAGCACAAAGCATTAAAATATTATAAAATACACAAAGTCAAATTTTATACAGAAAACACAGACATGTCACATATCCCCAGATAGCTGGGATCTGAGTGCACAAAACTACCGAATAGTGCTCAGATCCTATTCACACAGTTCAATTGCCATGGAGCCAAAGTCTTTAACTACACGAATGGGCTCCATGGCATAGCTATCTGGGTTAACACATTCACATAAAGTCTGGTCCATAGTCCAAAGGCAAGAGGCGGGCAAGCAGCCCCCTCCAAGGACACGTGGCGAGGCCGGTTTCGCCACAAGTTTTCATATCAGTTAATGGAAGGATATGTCCACATATAATCTGGAATTGTAACGGTTTGCCAAATCTTGTAGTTGAAGTCTGTATCCCTCATTGTAACTTTATGCCCACCTTAAATCAAAAAGACACTGACATAGCGTAATACTGTTACAAAATGTATTCCCTTTTGATACATAAAAAAAAAAAAAAAACATAAGAGAAACCCTTACACGATCTTGTAACCGCTGCTGGTTCCCTTATTTACCACTATAACATCTTAAAGCATAGAACTTAGTAGGGCTAACCATACAGATAACTTAGCCCAAATTTTATATAGTTAGTGTAAGAGATCCTCCATTTAACATATATAAATAATTGAGAATACAATATAAAATAAGGATTGTCTTGGAAGCAATAAAGTTTTGTCTTTTTAGATATTTATTATATAAAAATATAAATATAGACATATAAAATCCATTACAGCAGAGTTTATAAGATTAAACTAAATGCTTGCAAATATCATTAATAGGTTAACATACCCTTCTGAACATGTCATCATGTCAGCCTCTCTGTCATTTTAAGATGGTCTGTCTCCAAGTCTCTCCTCTGTTCCTTAATATTTAAAAGTACACCTATTTATACCTTGGGTGCCTCCATTTTAGGGTTATCGTAGTTCATATATGAAAAAGTAACACTTCTTTTACTTTATTCATTTTAGGACCTCCCTTAATTTGGCAAACATATAAGGCCATAACTAAAGGATGCATACGTCATGGAAATTTTCCTGACACACAGTGAGAAGCACGCAAGCGCCTCTAGCGGCTGTCAATGAGACAGCCACTAGAGGCTGGATTAATCCTAATATAAACATAGCAGTTTCTCTGAAACTGCTATGTTTATAGAAAAAAGGGTTAACCCTAGCTGGACCTGGCACCCAGACCACTTCATTAAGCTGAAGTGGTCTGGGTGCCTATAGTGGTCCTTTAAGTATAGCCTTGAAGCTTGTTTATGCATTATTGTTATTGTAATTCGTCTGGGACAAAATGGCGCAAACATATTATGCACTGTAAGTAGGTAAGAGCTTATTTCTTAAAGAAACATCTATGAAAAGCAATATGTTCTGTAGTGGTTACCCCGTGTAGCAGAGGGGTTTCAACCACTGGAGGGTGTCCTTTTCCCAATCAGTGAGGAGGATTCTCAGCATCCAGTCATGTTCCAAGAGAAGAAGCTCTTACAAGAGCTATTGTGAATAACTGTATAGTGGTTACCCCCAATAAGAGACAGGACTCTAGATTGAGGATGAAGTAGAACTGATGTTTAATGGCAGGTACTCTGCTTTTATGCAGTGCTCCCCTGCAAGGGAAACGCCCACAGACAATTAGACATTAACCAATTAGACCATGGTTACATCGCACAGATTCCCTCTCCTCTGCTTGGGAGATAATTGAGTTTCTCACTGTATCTCCAAGCTAAAACTTATACTTTTTTATGCATTTTTATAACTTTATGATTTTTCATCACACAGGAATAAAACTTATATTTTTATGAACAACACAACTTGGGGACAAACATTCAAAATTCGTACAAATCCGTTCAGGGGTTCCAGAGATATGGAAAAGTCTCTTAGGACCGGCCGCATGCCTGTTTGTATGCCCAAAAACAGTTCCACAGATTCAGGCTGTGCGGTCGGTCTATTTCTGCCTTGAAAAATAACAAAGTCCCATCCGAAGGCGGCGTTCGAATAGTCGAACGCACTTCGACTTCTGTCAAAGTGTCAAAGTAAAACAGGATAAACTTTCTCGGTGGTCGTTAGGTGAGTGGCAGTCTTTTTCACATGAAAAAGATGACAAAGTCCCATTCAAACGTATGTTCGAATCTGCTGCAGTGTCGAGGGGTGGGGGACGGTGCAGGTCAGCGGTGTTCGTGGAAATGTGTGACAGATTTCCATTCCAGAGATTTGATGGAACACACCGCTGACCGCGTTCGGCTGTATTAAAATGGCTGCCGCCACGTGTTCGACTGTTTAATGGCGACTACTTCGACACATCGACTGTATCCGAAGTGCCATATCAAATGTACCCATTCTTTGCACAACACAGTTAAAGGGCCAGAAACAGTATTTGTCCTTAGGTGCAGGGCAATGTGGATGATGGCAGGAAGTTAAACGGTAGAGGTTCCCAGGCAACACGTTAGGACGCTGGTACAACATATATTATAGATCCAACGCAAAACAGGGGGATCTTTTACTAGTTCCATTTCTAACACCTTGTCAGTTTGCAATCTCTCTTAAAGACAAAGTACACAGTTTAAGAAATACAACATTTCATTCTAAGATTTGTAATATTTGCATTTGCCCATAACACCCTCTCCATTAAACTGTGGGCATTGTAGAGCATTTCTTCCTTAAATTAGTAAACCAAAGTTCTCCAACAGTCTTTAGGTTTTTATGCTCCCAGCATCTTTGATCATTGTTGTAACGGTAAAACATCCGTAGCGTGATCTTTACCTGTAAAGGTGGTTGATTAAAATGAGCAAAGCTTTTGTCTGGGAAATAATTGAAAAGAACACCAGGTTCCAGAGTAAGATATTCTTGGATAGATCCGGATACGAATTGTAATCCAAAGTTAAAAGTAGTAATTGTATTTGTAATCCAAAGTCTTTAAAGGCCTGTAGAAGTTTACATTCCTTAGATACATTGCTGGAGGTTGTGTTTGTAGAATACCCGGGTATTTGTTGTAGAGTATAGGTTGTAGAGTGCAGCTATCCAAGAACTTGCCTAGAATTGGTTGCAGATATTGAATCAGCATAATTTGTTATCACCGTGGTGATGGTGTTGGTATTTGTCTTTTTCTTTTTTTGTTTAGATTTTTCCATGAAACATTTTTACACTGTTTATGATGTGTATAGATTGGATACTCTCTGATATTCTTTTACGAAATAAATTAATTGACAGCATTTCCAAGACATTGTCTTAAAGGACCACTCTAGGCACCCAGACCACTTCAGCTTAATCCCTCTAGGATTAACCCCTTTTTTTTATAAACATAGCAGTTTCAGAGGAACTGCTATGTTTATAAATGGGTTAATCCAGCCTCCAAATCCTCTAGTGGCTGTCTCATTGACAGCCGCTAGAGGCGCTTGTGTGATTTTCACTGTGAAAATCACAGTGAGAAGACGCAAGCGTCCATTGGAAAGTACTGTAAATGCTTTCCTATGAAACCGACTGAATGCGCGCAGAGCTACTGCCGCGCGTGCGCATTCAGCCGAAGGAGAGGAGAGGAGGAGGAGAGCTCCCCACCTGGCGCTGGAAAAAAAGTAAGTTTAACCCCTTTCCTCTCCCCAGAGCCAGGCAGGAGAGGGACCCTGAGGGTGGGGGCACCCTCAGGGCACTATAGTGCCAGGAAAACGAGTATGTTTTCCTGGCACTATAGTGGTCCTTTAAGTGACATGGATCCCATTATAGTAAATGTTATGTTGATACAGCAATCGAAATAGATTCTCAAGAACACCTCTTTTTGCTGTATTGGAATCTTTGTAACATCTCAGCAATAGACATCTCAATTACATCAGGTGCTGTTGTGCTAAAAATGTAAACAGGTAAAATCTGTGGAAATATCTTTACATTTGTTATACTTCGTATAATAATGGTGGATGAAATAGTAACATAGTTAATCTTTCTAGTGTTTTGTTTTAAAGATAAAAACCCTTGTATATGATTTAGATATATAAGGATAATTTGAAGCAGCAAAGTATTTACCACCTTTGTTCACAATGGTATGTAAAATTACATTCTCTTTAAATGTTAAAAATACTCTTTTATTTAAAATCTCTCAATATATTTAGAATAGTTGCTAATTGGAAATATGACGTTAATTATCTCTCTTTGACCTGTTAGGGAGAAGACAACTTATTTCCTAAATATAATAACTACAGTTATTAGTGGCAGCTTAAAAAACTTAGTGGCTTAAAAAACATTTTTTTTACCAAGATCTGACAGCCATTGTGGAAAGTTACGTTCATGAGATTGGATGCTTAACAATGAGAATCTTAATTGTTTTTTTTCTTAAAAGTATATTTTTCAGTGGCTGTTGGATGTAGCTTAAGATGATTAGAATGTATTATTATTTCTAAAATTGAGTTAAGAAAGCACTCAGATACAATATTGAAGGCATTTATATTTTAGCTCTACCTTTGTATAAGTGGTTTATCACTTCCATAACAATAGATATCAGAATCTGTTGTAACTATAACTTGTTGAAGTGGGGGTATGTTACAATCAGAATATGAATTAATAATCATATGCATGATGTATTGATTAAACAATCAATAGAAGTGGCAGGATCATTACCACCACAAACCAAATTAAATTTCTTGGTATTTGAAAAAATGATAAAATATTTGATTACGTGTATTTTAATATATATTTGCAGTTGGGGATATTAAGCCGTATCTGTAGTAGTAAGTGATGATTGATAGTCGGTTGTGGTGTGCCTGAACCAATGATCGGGTAGGCCTGAAATAATGAGGGCCCACCTAAATAGTATTTGCTGAGGGGTGTTGGTGGGTGGGGAGTTCTGGATCAATCTCGGCCCTGATTAGAGGTAGGTCTGGGTATAAATAGGCCTGGTTAACCCCTCCCACAACTACAGGCTCCGCCTTAACATTTGTAGTCAGGGATATTAAGCTGTATCTGTAGTAGTAGGTGATGATTTATAGTCGGTTGTGGTGTGCCTGAACCAACGATCGGGTAGGCCTGAAATAATGAGGGCAAAAAGGTTTTAAACAAAACACTTTTAATGCTTTGAAAATTCACATAAGTAATTCCTTGAAAGCTTTCCTAAGTTCTTTCTCTGGCTGTGTAATGTATTTGCCATAAGCTGCTGATTTCCACCTTCCTAGTTTTTTAACGATGTGTACGGGTATGTTATTGCTGGATGCAGCTGAAGCGGCTCCAATCCTAAATGAGTGTCCTGAGATGGACATGGGGTCGTGACCTAGTCTGACCACCAAGGCCCTTACGTAGTGTGTGAATTTAGCCGTAGTCAGAGGTTTGTCGGCAATTGTGAGTAGGGGTGAGTAGCTTTGTTTGTCTTTGAGGGAAAGGCAGAAAGTATCTAGGACTGTCACCAGACACCATTTATTATGGGTTAGGAAGTACTGGAACTCTGTAGGAGCTCCCACCTGATTTGTTTTGGTTTGTCTTAGAAGCAGTATATAGTGGTCCCCCAATTTTTGTAGGTCCCTTATTCTGATGTAACTTGTGTTGACAGATAGACTATGCACCGTGAATTCACTGGGCCTTAAGAACCCGTAGAACGCTATGTACATAGCCGTTTTGAGTACGCAGTTAGTACTAGGTTCAAATGGTCTTGAATCTAACAGGTCTGATAGATCCTTAAATTTAGTCCCGTCAATTGGCTGTCTTTTGGCTGTTGGAGGGCCGTCTGTGCGAAGTATACCTTTCAGGACGTTTTTTAGGAGATAGGATGACATGAGAGGTTTGTGACAGGGAAATAAGGTGAGTAAGTGGTGCTGTATGCCTGTGAGGTAAAGTTTGATGGTGTTATGTGCAAGCTTGAGTTGTAGATGGCAGTGAGTGGTGAAAGCAACTATTGTGTCGATGGAAAAGGTGTTGGTGATGTGGTGTTCGGAAGTGAACCTGGAGAAAATAGTAAGTGCTCTATCGTAGGACTTCTTGGTGTTGTCTGACAGAGCAGCTTTTGCCAACGTTAGTGCGTGTTGTTTCAGCCATATCAGTCCATTATCAGGTCCTGAAATGTGGGGGTCAGCTCAGGTTTAATTGTCGCCGTGGGGTGTTGTTCGAAAAAGCCTGAAAGTTGGAGCGAGAGAGAGCATCAGCTGCAATATTTACCCAACCTGGTATGTGCATGCAAACCAAGTGGAAGTTGTGAGTAGCTGTCAGCCACGTGAGTCTCCTCATGAGTCTCATGATGACTAGGGATGCGGATCTGCCTTTGTTTATGATCTCGCATGTGGCTTCATTGTCGGAGAGGCATTTAACTGCTTTGCCCTCCCACAACGAACCCCAAGTGTGTGCGGCTGCCACTATTGGGTAAAGTTCAAAAAGCGAGGATGTGGTGTTAAATGCCTGTAATGTTGACGTTTCAGATGGCCATGAGTCATGGAACCACTGGTCGTTGTATATGGCTGCAAACACTGTGTGGGCTGCTGCATCGGTCCATACGACCGGGGAATCTACGTCGAGTGGGGGTATGAACATTGACCTCCCATTTCAGGAGGAAAGAAATGTGCCCCACATGCGTAAGTCTGCTTAGGCGTTATCATTGATGATAATGTGAGTACTGTCTTGGGGGGTCTCAAGCGTGAAATTAATGCCCGACCCTGCGGTATAATGCAGATCGCAAAGTTTAGTGAGCCCAGGAGAGACTGTAGCTCTTTGCGGGAGCAATTGTTTTTCTTCATGAACCATGTGATTTCGTTAGTGATGCAGTAACTTTCTCTTCTGGTAGACTCGCCACCTTAGATGTGGAATTGAGATGGATCCCTAAGAAGGTTAGGGCTGTAGACGGACCTATTGTCTTTTCTCTTGATAGAGGGACCCCTAGTGTGGAGAAAAGTGCAGCAGTTTTATCTATGCTGTGGGGAGTACAGTTAGGTTCCCCTACTGTGAGGAAGTCATCCAGGTAGTGTATTGCTACTGGGCAGCCACCCACATTTAGTAGTAGCCAGCATAGTTTTTCGGCAAACGTGTTGAACAGTTTGGGACTGCTTTTGGCCCCAAACGTCAAACACGTGGCCAAGTAGTAGTGGCCCTTCCATTTAACTCCGTGTAAATGCCACAGGGACGGATGTATGGGTAGCATTTTGAAATCGTTAGTGATATCGGTTTTTCCTGACCAGGTGCCTTTACCTGCTTTCAAGATTGCCCCCATAGCGTTATCCACTGTGGCATACTGTAGTGAAAATTCACTGGATGGAATTAATGAATTAATGCTAGGAACCACAGATGAATGAGGCGCTGATAGGTCAATGATCATAAGTTTTTTATTATTAAATTTCCCAGTTGCAATGCCAATTGGGTTAGTTCTGAAACTAGCGTATGGGGGGTGTGAAAATGGGCCTATCATGAACCTGTGGTCGATCTCTGCTGTGAGCAGTGCCTCGGTGGTGACAGGGTCTAGTATGGCTGATTGCAGGTTCCTGCATTCTAGGGTGCCCCCCGGAATTGCCACTAGCCCCGTGTGGAATCCTACCGTGAACCCTGTGGTAAGGAACTCGACCAAGTGAGGGGAGGGGTGGTTGGAGAGATAATAGGTGAGGTTGCTAACATTCATTTCCGTGAGTCATTGTCTAGGGAAAAGCCGATTAGTGCACATGGTCTTCGCGTTTGCCCTAAAGCAAAGGGATCAGATATGCCACAAATGACAAGCGCTGAAGCTACAGCCTCCCGCATTGAAGTTATTGCATATCTGTGCTTTACCGAGGAAGATGATGGGCCTGCCCAGTTTGTCCTTGGTCATCCTTTATGATTTGGGGGTGGGCTCTGCGTGGCTAGTGGAGGGTTGGCTCAGTTCAGAGGGGCACAGATTGGTGGAATGTGCAGTTGATGTGCAAATGGCACAAGACGGAGGCTTGAGGCCGGCAAAATGGCGGCAGAACAGTTCCGTAGCTAGTTGGCTCCAATCTGAGCATATGTTAAACTGAACCAGTGCTGTCGCCGCCTTCGCCGAGAATGACCTATGATAATCATAGAAAGAGTAGCCTCCGTACTTGTTGCCTACGTCCACCAATTTGTGGAGGTAAAGGTCCAGCTCCTCTCTGCGTTGAGGGAAGACAGAACAGATGACGTCCCTGTATAAGCCAAAAGCGATCACAAAATCAGGGATGGCCAGTGTAACGGACCGTTTTGCACACAAGGGGTAAAAACCGTTTAGGCGATCGGCCCCCTTTCCAGAGATACAGGCACAGCTACTGCAGAACACCAAACTCCCAAACTGGATACAAAATAGCACTCCAACTCCCGAACTGGAACCTCCCAAATAGCTGCTAGCAGACGAACAGGAAAAGCAGACTTACACTCCTGGCAATCAGTCTCTAACAGCATACAGTGAATCCCCCCAAGAACGAGACAAGGCTCTGTGTTGAGGGTCAAGCAGTGGTCTGAGGTGCTGGGTCACCCAGCCTGGTTTTTATTACAGTGTTGCAAATACAGGACCGCCCACAGGGAGGTATAAAATCCAGTAACATATTAGTTACAACCCACAGATTCCCTCCCCCTTTTTACCACAATGCATCCTGGCTTCCTCTCCTCTGCCCAGGAGATAATTGAGAAGTAATTAAATTATCTCCCAGGACAGAGACAAGACTCCATTATGCACATGGTTTGCACAAAGCATTAAAATACTGTACAATACACAAAGTCCCATTTTATACATAAAACACAGACATGTCAGAGGCAAGACTCTATTATGCACATGGGGACACAAAACAAGCATTAATGTTAAAATACACCAGGTAAGACACATTATATTAAAACTATACATTTAACATATCCCCAGATAGCTCAGGTCTGAGCGCACATTATTAAGTGAATGGCGCTCAGACCACACGAATACAGTTTAATCACCATGGAGCCAAAGTCTTTACAGTCAGTTTCATATGAATGGGCTCCATGGGATTCCTATCTGGGGTATAACACATTCAAACAAATCTACCGAACCCCAGGCAGAAAAGCACAAATGAAGCTTTTCTGCAGGTAAAAAAGATGTCTTTTAACAGGGGGCCATAGTCCAAAGGCAGCAGGCGAGCAACCAGGCTTCTCCAATGCAATGTGGCGAGATTGGTCTCGTCACATCTCTCCCCTTTTCCAAACAAACTAACAGGGTATCTGACCTCCTGCCGGTCAGTGCCCTTGTTAGTCCAGCAGCCCACCCACGAAACACAATCAACAGCACAGCCCACCCACAATAAATAGTTACTGCACCTGGGTAGAGGAGAAGCTTGTCCATGTCCAGGTGCCTCACCACGGCTGTGCTGGGTACGGGTACGCTGACTTGGTGGGGTGCTGCGTGGGCAGAGACCAGCGTCACTCTGCCCTGTTGCTAGCGCTACTGGGAGGGTAGCCTGGTTGAAGCCTGGTTGTTGGAGGGGGAGACCGACTGTCTCCCCTTTAAATACACAGTCCTGCTGCTGGAGACCGACTGTCTCCCCTTTGGTTACACAGCTCTGCTGCTGGAGGGGGAGACCGACTGTCTCCCCTTTGGATACTCTAAGCTGTCACTGAGGAGAGGGGGTAACAGGCTCCTCTCCCGATAGAACACTCTGCCGCTGGGGAAAGGAGACTGAGCTCTCTATTCCCTGCCCATTAATGATCCGCTGCTGGGGAGAGGTGGTAGCAAGCTCCTCTCCCATACATACTTTCATCCTCTGTGGAGGGAGAACGACTGTCTCTGCTCCCAATACAGTGTCCTGCTGCTGGGAAGGGGAGACTGGGCTCTCTATTCCCTGCTGGATACTCTGCCGCTGGGGAATGGAGACTGGGCTCCCAATTCCCGGCACATCACTCGGCCGCTGGGGAATGGAGACTGGGCTCCCAATTCCCAAAAAATCACGCTGCTGCTGGGGGGCAGGAACAACTACCTCTGCCCCTGTAGCTCAGCCTGCCGCTGGGGAGGGAGGACGCTGCTCTCCTCTCCCTGCACTTCACACTGCCTTCCCGGCATATCACTCTGCTGCTGGGGGGCAGGAACAACTACCTCTGCCCCCTGTAACTCAGCCTGCCGCTGGGGAGGGAGGACGCTGCTCTCCTCTCCCTGCACTTTACACTGCCGCTGGGGAATGGAGACTGGGCTCCCAATTCCCGGCATATCACACTGCCGCTGGGGAATGGAGACTGGGCTCCCAATTCCCTGCATATCACACTGCCGCTGGGGAGAGGAGACTGGGCTCTCTCTGTCCCGCAACTGTAGCTGCCGGTGGAGGTCCACACACCGTGGCAGCTGACCGTCACCCTCTGCCCGGTACAGCAGAGTCTTGAATACTAGACTCCTCACGAACTTCACGGATTTCTCAGCTGGATTAGGTCCGAAGAAGTTCAGCCGCAACCACATCATATGGTCAAATTCCTGTACAGAGTATCTGTACTCCACTGCTGGTTCCATTCTGTTGCTGTCAGGGTCGCTGTACTGAGACATGCGTTGCCCTCAAATTGTAAAATCCACGGAATGGTGTCTCCTGTAGCTGTCCTGTAGTCTGTGGGAACGATCCCGCCGCTTGCCACCAATTGTAACGGACCGTTTTGCACAAAAGGGGAAAAAACCGCTTAGACGATAATCCCCTTTCAGAGACAGGCACAGCTACTGTAGAATCACCAAAACTCATGAACTGAATACAAGTGAATGCTCCAAACTCCCGAACGGCATACAAGGGAATGCTCCAAACACTCGAACTGCATACAAGGGAATGGTCCAAACACTCGAACTGCATACAAGGGAATGGTCCAAACACTCAAACTGCATACAGTGAATCCCCCCAAGAACGAGACAAGGCTCTGTGTTGAGGGTCAAGCAGTGGTCTGAGGTGCTGGGTCACCCAGCCTGGTTTTTATTACAGTGTTGCAAATACAGGACAGCCCACAGGGAGGTATAAAACATCCAGTAACATTAGTTACAACCCACAGATTCCCTCCCCCTTTTTACCACAATGCATCCTGGCTTCCTCTCCTCTGCCCAGGAGATAATTGAGAAGTAATTAAATTATCTCCCAGGACAGAGACAAGACTCCATTATGCACATGGTTTGCACGAAGCATTAAAATACTGTACAATACACAAAGTCCCAATTTATACATAAAACACAGACATGTCAGAGGCAAGACTCCATTATGCACATGGGGACACAAATCAAGCATTAATGTTAAAATACACCAGGTAAGACACATTATATTAAAACTATACATTTAACATATCCCCAGATAGCTCAGGTCTGAGCGCACATTATTAAGTGAATGGCGCTCAGACCACACAAATACAGTTTAATCGCCATGGAGCCAAAGTCTTTACAGTCAGTTTCATACGAATGGGCTCCATGGGATTCCTATCTGGGGTATAACACATTCAAACAAATCTACCGAACCCCAGGCAGAAAAGCACGAATGAAGCTTTTCTGCAGTTAAAAAAGATGTCTTTTAACAGGGGGCCATAGTCCAAAGGCAGCAGGCGAGCAACCAGGCTTCTCCAATGCAATGTGGCGAGATTGGTCTCGTCACAGCCAGCTTCTTGTTAAGCCTGGGGTCCCTAGCCTTGAGTACAATAGTGTGATAGAATTTCTTGATTCCAAGGCTCAAGCTTATAGGTGTCATATAATGATATCCTATATTAAAATTGGCTAACTTGGACTCAGGAAATGCTTGATGCTTAAACAACACTTAAGACCATATATGTTTAAGTTCCGGGAGCAGAGAGCCCCCACCTAAGATGTCTCTGCTCTAATCATTTTGTTCTCTCTTGCCTTGAAACTTATTTGTTATGTGTACATGACGCTCATCCCTATGTCTTATCTGTACTCTCTTCCTATTACTGTTCTAAGAGTATTTGCACGTAAGCACTTACTTTTTAATGTATAAAACCCAGCTGATGAATAAAACGTCAGAGGCTTATTTTGAATACCAACAGGTGTCTGGTGTCTAATTCTCGCTTCTCCAAGTGCACTTGTAACAACAATTTGGGCTTCCTCTGAATATAACAAAGATCAACATTCTGATCCACAACAATTTGGTGCCGTGACCCCGGGATCTGACGGTCGAGAGACTCGGACACTAGCGTACAGGTGGACGTCCCTCTGACAGTGAAATCAGCTGCAGCAAGGTAAGAAAAACTTTTTTCTACCTTTATCAATTTTGCTCTCAGATCCACGTCCTACTAGTCTGTCTGGGTAAAGAACGACTTAAAAACGTCTGATCTAAAGAACTTGTTTTCTGTGGTATTATGGTTATATTCAGGTGGAGGTTGTGTTATGTCTTGTGAAAAGAATCTTGAGATAGTGGAATATATCTGTGGGTTGTAAGTTATTTTTATTGTTTGCCTTGTCATTTGTTTTATAATTTGAGTTAGAATCCTCCAAGGGCAGATCTCCTGATCTGTGTTTAGAAGACAAAACTGGGAAAATTCCACTGCAGCGGTCCTAAGTGTCAAATACACTGTTTTTGTACAGTTTGTCTTGTGTAAGGAAGTAATTAACCCTTACAAGTTTTAAGATGGGTAGCTCTGAAAGTACCCAAGGGGGATTTACGGCTTTGACTATTGTCAAGCATCACAAAGGACAAGGAGCAATTAAAAATGTTAAGAGGTTACTTAAGAAAGCTGGCATGCCCTCAGAGGGCACTCTAGACCCACATATATGGAGAGAATGTATGGCAAATTACAGAGGTTGGTTAGAAGATAATGACTTATTAGAAGTCGCACAAAAATGGCATGATACTGCTGTTGAATTAACTAAATGTGGTTGTAGAGAAACCACCAGGAAAGGTGTACCATAGTATCAATGTTTTGGACCTCTAGGGTCCCAGAGTAGGCAAGATCCTGGGAAAAATCTTGTAAACCCACCCCTTTACCAGGATACTGCAGGAACTCTTTTGGTCCCAAAAGGCAAGGTGATTTCCCTTTTACGGAGATCAAAACCTCTCTTTCCAGTAATATTACGCAGTGGGACTTCATATGGTGTCCCAGTAAGACCTATGGGTTCATTAGAGCAGGAAGGTGGTCCAGACTTAAAGGAACCCCTAGTTGTCCCCACAGACACCCCAGTGGGGCCATTAGCTCCACAATTTTCTACTCCCATGATACCCAAAGTTGAGAGTGTATACCATGAGCACAGACAGCCGAGCTCAGGTATCCAATACTGGGAAGAATATAAGTCCTGGACACCCAGTGAACAACTGGCAATAATACAGCAGCTGGCAGATGTTGAAAAGCCCCCCTTAGCTCTAGTCCAGTATCTATCCACAATTCAAGCTACTTACCAGTGTACTTGGATGGATTTAAAACAGATTGTGGCACTAAAAGCTGGTCCCATTTGGGCTAGAAAAATTGCTAAATATACAGATGCCCATGAAGATAACCTCAGAAAAAGCAACATGCAAACAGATGAATGGTTTAGAACCAAGTCTGCATCTGGAACATGCTATGTCACTGCAATGAGAGAATGGGCTAAGGTAAAGACAGAGGAACTAGCCCATAAATTAGGAGATATACTACAAGGGAAAGCTGAATCTGTAGAAACATTCTTCACCAGACTACAAATGGCTTGGGAGGCATTGGGTTACACTGATGTTGTAACCACTTCCACCAGACTGCTTATTAACTGCTTCATGGATGGTATCCACATACCCATAAGGACTGGTCTCCAAAATGCTAGACCTGAGTGGAGAAGTTTAACCTATGGTGATCTGGTTGAAGGTGGCTACGGGAGTGGAAGCTAATCTAAATACTAGAAAGAGGAGCACACCTCTAATGGCTGTAACTGTTCCTAGAGCTAGTGGGGACAGAAGGCAGGTAGACTGCTGGAATTGTGGCAGGAAAGGACACATTAAACGGAACTGCAAGTGTCCTCCTAAAAATAGAAAACCCCAAGATTCTAATGATAACTCCCATGACAGCCAACCACCACCACCACCTCCCCCCCCAGTAGGAAATTGGCAAACCAGTGTCCCTACATATCATCAATATCCCTGACTCTGCAGGACCCTCACCAATTATCAATGTTACACTGCCTGGGGACCGAATAGTACCTTTCCTGTTGGACACTGGCGCTGCTAAATCAATGTTACAGGAAAAATATGTATTCCCGTATGAGAAATCTAATGATGTATTATCATGTGTAGGGGTAGATGGTATCGAAAATGACATTCCCCTTACCCACAAGCTGAAATTGAAGCTACACGACTCTAATGCCCTTGTAACAAGGCTACTTGTCAGCCTGTGGTGTATTACCAAACTCTATAAATTATTATGTACGCATACACATATAAACTCTGGTCCGTCTACTTTAACAAATATTTATTCAGAGACAAAACAACAACAACATACAAATAATGACACACAATCTAACTAACTATACCAACAACAACAGCAACAACAACCTAACTAACAAGAACAACTACATCTTATAAAATCACCAGATCCCAATCACAGTTCACCATGATAGAAATTAGCCCATGTCTGCTTAAGGGACTGCTCAGTAGCACAGCCAAGAAGGAACAGAGAGGAATGGAGAAAGTGGTTCTCTCTTTCCTGACTTGTAAAGGTATTGAATTACCAATTAACATTTCAAAAGGGTAAAGCTTATCTCACTGTAAGAAAAGCAAACATGAGCTTGGTCACATGACCCCTGGTCACCATATTAGTTTGATGACAGAATGTCACCACATTCCCTCACTTTTTCTTCTCTTATGTTGAGCACATTTAAAAATAATAATAATTGATCCCTTCTATCTAAACTATGAGATCTGAAGTAGGAAAGGGGAGCACAGGAATTATAGTGAGTGATATAAGCAGGGTGAAAGAAAACAGTCAAATAGGGGTTGCATCACCCCACATTCCCCCACTTTTTTCTTCTTTTATGTTGCTCCGTTATCTAGTTATCCCTCTAGTACAGGAAAACCTAGTGGGAGCAAAAACCTGATATACAGGAGAAATTCAACCCACCGTCCCTCCGGAATAGTTCCCTCAGCGACACAAGTTCTCCTGTACTTTCCTATGGCTGTCAATTCACATATTATACAGAGTGTCACAAAAAAAACAGAACTTATAGAATTTAGGTGAGTGTGTGTGTGTGCAATGTTAAACTTTATTGAAGAATGTGTGAGAGAGAGAGAAAAAGAGAGAGAGAGAGAAACAAAAAAGAAACAAACAAACAAAAAAAAAATATCCCCCTTTTCAAGTTTCTTCCTCATCTATTTCATTGCCACACAAAAGTATACTAGCGGCAAAGTTTGTAGGACTGGATGTGATATTTGCAGAATTCCATACTCTCAATCCAGTTCCGACTCCTCCCAGTAGAGCTGTAAATTGTCCCATTTTTCCTGACACCCTGCTTTGCCTAAAACACTGTCGCCGTTGTTCCGGACACCTTGGAGGAATAGAAGGATTATTAAAATATAGACTGTAAACCTCTCCCTTATTTGGAGTATCTTCTGGCCGTATTGCCTGTCTCCCATCTCTGCTGTGATACAGCGTATACTTATCCATCCTGTAACAAGGATCCACTACGATCTTCTGTTGACACACATCATCATCATCCCAATACAGCTTTGCCTTGCTCTCATCATTAGAAAGGAATAGCTAAATGGGAGACTGGAAGACTGAGAGAAAGAACAAAACAAAAGAAAAACAAACATACATACGGATGTAGAGAGCAACACAAAATTATGAGTGTTATTGATTGCTGGGACCCCCCAATTGGTCAATCTTTTCCTCCTCTCTCAACTGTTCCCTCAGCGCTTTCACGTCTGCCTCCAATCTTTCAGTCTGTCTCTTTAGGTCCCAGTAGTCTCTATTCCCTTCTTTATTCCTCCAATTATCCCAATTCCGTCTATTGGTCTGATGCTCATCCCATCTATGGTTCCTTCTCCAATTATTCTCCCAATAACTGTTCCTGTTGTTTCTCCGTTTTTCTCCCCAATTGTGATTTTCCCACTTAATATCTGTCCTTTTTAGCCTCTCCCAGGTATTTTTATTATTCCAATTATTGATTACCTTAGGCCCCTCCCATCTATTCCTCCAATTATCTCCCATTACATTCCTATGGTCCCTCTGTGGATCTCTCCATCTTTTGTCAAAGTCCTGTTTTGGTCTCCAGTTCTCATTATCCCTCTTGTTCTGGGGTACATCCCACCTCTGCCTTCTCCATTTAACATCTATATCTCTACCAGAGTCGACCTTGAATGTTCTTATGGCTGAAACAGAGAAGGCCTGTTCCGAGGAAGGATGCTTGATCCACCAGTTGTCAGCTCTAGTTAGTACCATTTCTAAGTCTGCTGGTGTTGGATCAAAAAGCCTCACAAATTCTTGACACTCCCAGGGAAGGGCTTCCATTACTTTAGTAATATGTTGTGGTGAGCCCAAGACCAGAGGCTGTTGAGGTTGGCGTAGTGTATACCAGAACAATATCCTTTGCGCTACCTCTCTAGGACAATCTGCTGGCCTCATCATAATATTAACTATTTCTTTCTCTATGCTGAGTAGATAGAAAATCGTTGCAGCAATTCTTCCTGCCTGGTCAGACACACTGTTATTAAATTCAAATAGTCTGCTAGCCAAAGGACCCATAGCATATTCTAACAGTTCTGTCCATTCTTCTAAGTTAAGACCTCTTTTTTTTGCTCTATTTGCTCCCCTCATAAACCAATGTGTAAAGGTGTTAAAGTCGTCAGTTGGCATACTTCCCCACCATTTCTGGAAATTATCTTTGTCTGTGATTGACATAGTCCTTGTCTGTCTAGAGAAGCTAGTAGGCATTTCTCTTACATTAAAATGTTCAGTTATTATAATTAGGGGCTTGTGGGACACAATTTACAATTGGCACAATTCCCTTGTGTTTTGTTCCCAGCACTGGTTCTTTACTTTCAGATATAAAATAAGACTGGTCTGGGCATACTCTAGGAATCTCCTTATCCCATTTATTTGTGTTTTCTTTAATTTTCATTTTATATTCCATGACTAGGTCTTGGAGTTCAGTGATCTTAGCACTATATGCATCTCTCTGTTGTTCTATTTCTCTTAAATCCTTTTCTAATTCCCCAACAATTGTAGTTGTTCTCAAAGCTGCAATTTTTAAACAATCCCTTTTGTCCATTGCTTCCTCCATTTTATTTGTTGTTTCCAAATTATGCTGCCGTAATTCTACAACTATGTCTATTAGGCCTCCTATTGTGGCTACAACAGCTTGTGTGACCAAACTTTTTATTTTCTTTGTTCTATACTTTTTGTTATTTACAATTTGTGTTAGTACATCCATTAATCTCTCCTCTTTTTCACTGTCTGGGTTTGCTGGCTCTGGAAGCTCATATGGACCATCATGTTTTTGAATATGTTTCCTAAAGTACTCACGCACTTCTGTGGAAAAGTATTTGGCCCCTTGAAAAGACATTCCTACTCTTTTACTCACCCAAGTAAGAACCCAATTTAAATCAATTTGCAACTAAAGTATCACACTTCTGAATAGCCAACAATAGTTGATGTATATTCAGTAGGCCAGTTGTAAATAGAGAAAACAAAAAACAAAACTCAATTACCTTTGTATGCTAAACACAATGGGTGGGGAACACAATATCCACAACTCTACTGTGAAGCTTGAGTTAGGATTTGCCCGAAAAACACACGCCCAGTTTTGTTATATGTAGCACAATGGACTAGTATCCACAATGCAAATTATATTTACCTTAGTATGGTGAAGGTAATACTTGCTAATTAATTTCAAAACCAGTAGTGCCAAAATTAGCATATTAAAATATAACAGCAAGGCCTGGAGGGTAGGAGTTATATCTGAACTAGGATATTCAAGACACATAACCTATAGTGTATTAAATTTCTCTAGGGCTGTACTATGATAGAATGCAGGCCTGAACTAAAGTTAAAAAATTATTAAAGGATTAATATATTCAAAATTGAGGCCTATGCTGGTAGTGTAATCAAATCAGCATTCAAATACAAAAAGAAGCTGCATGGAAGCCTATTGTAATGCAGGGCTAGGCCTGTACTCTGATAGTCAAAACGCAATAAAACTCAACTCAGGTATTTGAAACACACAAAAAAACTAATATTATATTCAAAATTGAGGCCTGATGCCCAAGCTTGTATATTAAAAAGGAGGCACGAACTAGGATACAAAAGAATCAAATCAGCATTCAAATACAAAAAGAAGCCGCATGGAAGCCTACTTTAGGGTATTCAAATGCAGGGCTAGGCCTGTACTCTTATAGTCAAAGAACAACAAAACTCAACTCAGATATTTGAAACACACAAAAACAACCTGTATGATACTGATACCGGAGAAACTGACGGAAGCAAAGCACAGAGAGATGGACACAGGTTTCTTCAGGAAGGAAGAGATTCTTTATTGGATCACCGATCGGGACTCAGAGGGACTAATGTCACCAAAAATACAGCAAGTTCTGAGCCCTGAACAATAGTGCAGGCTCCCTATATAGGCACATAACTCCTCCCATATTAAGCTCCACCCGCACATTCTCTTGACCAATCATTACAAATAAGAATTAACTTCCTGCTTGACCGCATGGCTTGTCCAGCACAATGGAGGAGGGGAATACTACATCCTGTATTCTTGCACATGCTCCGTACACTACTGATCGTATCTTGCCTCGTGCAACCAACTGATCGATACGTCAGCATATGCACGTACACATGCCACGTGGTAATCTCGGCCTACTAAATTTATTTTTACCGAGATTCCACCACATTCCCCCCTTTGATGCCTCTTGATATTTTACAATTACTTGAGGCATCACTTAACCTTGGTTTGCATACACCACAAGTTACCTTTGAACCAGACCAGACTTATCCTATGATGTGAATCTTCAACACTCGTCTTCCTGCATTGGTTCTCCCTGATCTAGAGCCTTATATTTATAAATTGCCATTATCTGTGCAGCAGCCTTCCTCTCTGCTATATTTTCTATCAGGCTTTGCACAGACCTAACTACTAAGGGTATAAGACACAGCAGGAGTAGACACAACATTAAAATCAGTAGGACTCCACCTACCACTGCCTTAAGCCCTCCAAACCACTCATACCAGCTACCAAACCAACTACTTGGATTGTACCCTTTCCATACCTGAGTAGGCACATGCGCTAGTTTAACCATATGGCTAGTAAGCTCAGCTATTGCTTGCCCTTCGTCATCTATTTGAAGACAGCAATTGCTCAGGTTAAACTTCCCACATACACCTCCCTCTACTGCCAAAAGATAATCCAAGGCTAATCTATTTTGGTAAACTGCTGTCCTCATCCTGGTATTATGCTTCGCTAGAAGATTGAGCGCTTGTGATGTCTCGTTAGTAATGATCTCAACCACCGCCTGTAACCTTATAATGCGGTTGAGCATATAAATAGGGGTTCTATAACCAAAGGTACCATCCTCTGCCCACGTGGCTGGCCCATAATAATCTATAATACGCTGGGGAGGCCATTCATTATCTTCCCAGGCACCTATCTCTATGGGTCCCCTTTTCTTCCTATGATTCACATCATACACTTTAACACCTAAAGTCTCACCTGTTTCAATAGGCAACAAGAAGAAGGATGGTTTTAACATACCCAACACACATGCCCCTTCCCAGTCCTGTGGTAACTCCGAATAGGCCTTCTTACCACAGATCCAGTACAAATTCGCTGGGGCTCTCCAGTTAGATGTGATGGATAGATCAAACCATACGTCCTTTAAATTGGCATATCTTGCAAACGGGTTAGATGGTTCTGAGACATTTGAAGCCGACCACCAAGTTGTATTCTTTGTATCATCATCATAAGCTTTTTGCCCTAGACAAGTTAATTCTCCTACAGAAGTATTATACATCATTCCTTTCCTCGCTATGCAAACATAACCTATGATGGAGGTCTTCAATCTCCACTCAGATTTACCTCTAACACTCATATGATAGTCGGCTTGTGTAGATATTAATTGGTCAACTGCCTCAGAACCGGACATTACCTCCTTTGCTTCCCAAGGCCATTGGTCTCCCATGTTAGTACCTCCACACACATAGCAGTTGGTAACATTAAGACTACCGGCAATACTCTCGGCTAAATCAATGAACAAGTTTTTAGCATTATGGGGGATCTTATTATCTATGCTCATCTCTTCATAAAAGGAATGGTATACTTGATGAGTTTGGGAGGTTACCGTATCAGTCTCTATCCCTATAAACAATATTGTCCCAGGGTCTAAACCCGTCCCATATATTTGAAACCCAAATAAATTACCATATTTATCTAAGAACTTGTCAGGGTTATTTATAAGTATATGGATTGGATTGCATTCCATAGACTTACAATATGGATCAGTAGGCAACTTAGTCACAATCATGTCCTTGTCTGCTGTCTGTCCCCAAGTCGCCCACCCCACACAAGACCAATATGGGCAGAAGTTATAATCTCTATTTGGGCATCTTGGACTTACATATTTATTTTTACTACTGGGACAAATATATTTATCGTTAGACCCATACGTCCTCTCCCATCTAAGATCCCCACATACATTCCACGGCTTTCTACCACTTGATATTGCTTTACACGCATCAAATAGCAGAGCACCTGAAGAATATACGGATTTTAATACCGTCTTATTAGGGTCCCCTGAGAATCTCCATTTCTGAATGCCAAATTAAGGTCTGGGATATATGGTTACCTGTTCTTGTAGTCTTAATGCATACCTCACAGCTAGGAGTGTTGGTACCTCTACCTTCCTGAATATAAAAATACACATAAATAAACATTATTAAAAATACATCTTTCGTCGTCATCCTCAGTCTTCGTCCGTGCGAAGGCACCTCAGCTTCCAGGATGTAAGGACTGCAGGGAATGGAGTTCTGCTCGTCTTCACAGGGGTCCCCTCAAGACTTTCCCTGACTTATACACTCGTTGGTGAGTGGACAGGCTTTATTATGGCCTTCTCACTCACTTACCAAGTCTCTGAAACAATAAAATTTGTAATCTACAAGGTTCCTCGTCACTCCGACTGAGTCGTGCGTTTTAACCGGATCTTGCAGGGATTCTCTGGATTTGCTGTAACTTGCCAGGAATCGGCTGCTGCTGGTTTAACCCTGGAGTGATGTATCCACGGAGCCACTTCGGCTACTTTTATCGCTGTAGGGGTAGACAGAAGAACAACATAAGGACCTCTCCACTTGGGCCCTAACGGCACATTATTCCACTCTTTAATCCACACTTGGTCGCCTGGGTGGTAACTATGAATTGGGGGATAAATATTCACAGGTAATCTATCTTGTACCCATTTCTGTACCTCCTCCATAGTCTTACCCAACTCTACAACCTGCTGCCGGGTAATTCCTTCTCCCAACTGACTCAAATCCCCCCTTAAGTTACCAAGCACGGGAGGTGGTCGCCCGTACATGATTTCAAAAGGAGAGAGGCCCATCCTTCTGGTAGGTGTACTACGGATTCGCAATAGAGCTATGGGCAAGAGAACGTTCCACTTAAGTTGGGTTTCCTGACACATTTTAGCCAACTGATTCTTAATAGTTCTATTCATTCTCTCTACCTTACCAGAACTCTGGGGTCTATATGCCGTATGAAGCCTCCACTTTATACCAAGCATATGAGTCAATTGTTGTAGGCACTGATGAACAAAAGCTGGACCATTGTCCGATCCTATAGAGCAGGGTAGTCCATATCGGGGTATTATTTCTCGTAGCAGGAATCTCACGACTTCTCCTGCTTTCTCTGTACGAGTAGGACATGCTTCTACCCAGCCTGAATAGGTGCACACCACTACCAGCAGGTAGCGATGTCCACCCGATTTAGGCATCACTGTATAGTCAATTTGTAAATCGGACATGGGAAGTCCCCCCATAAACTGGACTCCTGGTGGCTTTACTGGTCCTTGTCTTGCATTATTTTTAGCACACGTTACACATCTACGTACAATGGCCTGAGTCAAGTTGGACAATCTTGGTATGTAGAAATGTTTTCTGAGAGATTCTTCTGTACTGTCTCTCCCAGAATGTGTCCCGTTATGATAGTTTTGGACAATTTCTACCGCTAGTGATGCTGGAATAACTATTCTTCCATCTTCTAACTGATACCATTTGTTCTCCAAATACTTTCCAGGTTCAGTCCTTAACCACTCCTCTTCTTGAGCTGTATAAATTGGAGTCCATTGAGACAGTGGAGTTGGTATAAGAGCAGCTATATGCCCCACATATTCCTGTCTTCCTGATTCAGCAGCACGCTTAGCTGCACTATCTGCCATCCGATTCCCTTTGGTTACATCACCATCTCCTCTCAGATGCGCCCGACAATGTATAATACCGACTTCTTTCGGCTCCCACACTGCTTCCAATAGTTGTAGGATCTCAGCTGCGTATTTGATTTCTTTGCCTTCTGAATTCAATAGTCCTCTTTCTTTATACAAAGCTCCGTGGGCATGAGTGGTTAAAAACGCATACTTGGAGTCCGTGTAGATGTTCACTCTTAAACCTTCAGCCAATTGTAACGCTCGTGTCAGTGCTATCAATTCTGCCTTTTGTGCTGATGTTCCTTTTGCCAGTGGCCGAGCTTCTATCACCTTGTCTATCGTTGTTACTGCATATCCTGCATAGCGGATCCCTTCTTTTACATAACTACTGCCGTCGGTGTAATATTGAACATCAGGGTTCTGGATGGGAAAATCACGAAGATCTGGTCTACTTGAAAATACTTCATCCATTACTTCCAAACAATCATGTTGACTTTCAGTAGGTTGTGGCAAAAGGGTAGCTGGATTTAAGGTATTTACAGTCTCTAAATGCACTCTTGGGTTTTCACACAACATTGCTTGATACTTGGTCATACGGCTGTTACTAAACCAATGATTTCCTTTGTAATCCAACAACGTCTGTACTGCATGTGGAACTCGTACATAAAGTTCTTGACCCAGAGTGAGTTTATCGGCTTCAGCTACTAGCAGGGCGGCTGCAGCTACAGCTCTTAGACAAGGTGGAAGTCCGCTGGCCACTGCATCCAGTTGCTTAGACATGTAGGCAACAGGTCTTTGCCATGATCCCAAGTACTGTGTCAATACTCCCACAGCCATTCTTCTTTGCTCATGTACATACAGGTAGAATGGCCGTGTGTGGTCAGGTAGACCTAATGCTGGGGCACTCATCAAAGCCCTCTTCACATCTTCGAATGCCGTTTGCTGTTCTTGAGTCCATAAGAAGGGGTCGTGCTCTGTACCTTTGATAGCTGCATACAGAGGTTTTGCCAGTATCGCGTAGCTGGGAATCCATATCCTACAGAAGCCTGCTGCCCCCAAGAATTCTCGCACTTGTCTTCTATTCCTGGGTATCGGTATTTGGCACACAGCTTCTTTTCTCTCTGGCCCCATAATTCTTTGACCTTCAGAGATATGGAATCCCAGATATTTGACAGTTGGCAAACACAACTGAGCCTTCCTTCTTGACACCTTGTATCCTGCCTTCCAGAGAATGTGTAGTAGATCGTGCGTTGCTTGCTGACATACTTCCTTTGTAACTGCTGCTATCAACAAGTCATCTACATATTGTAATAATACACACTCTCCTGGGATAGACTCGAAATCTAGTAGATCTTGACTTAGAGCTGAACCAAATAGGGTAGGTGAATTTTTAAACCCCTGGGGCAATCTTGTCCAGGTCATTTGGCGTTTCGAGCCCGTTACAGCATTTTCCCATTGGAAAGCGAAGATACATTGGCTTTCTGCGGCAATTCGGAGGCAAAAGAAGGCATCTTTGAGATCTAAGACTGTAAAGTAAGTAGCCCCGCCCGGAATTAAAGCAAGCAGGTTATATGGATTGGGCACGACTGGATGTATACTAACAACCGCATCATTGACTGCTCTCAAGTCCTGCACAGGTCGATACTCATCTGTACCGGGCTTTTGAACAGGCAGCAATGGGGTGTTCCAGGGGGAAGTACAGAATTTTAGGATACCATACCGTATGAACTTATCCAGATAAGATTGGATGTTCTTCTTAGCCTTCTGCGGAATATGATATTGTCTCAGGCTTACTGGATAAACCCCAAGTTTTAGTTCGATTTTAATAGGTGGAATATTGCGGGCCAGTCCTGGTGGGTTGTTCTCTGCCCAAACTCCTGGTATGTTAAATAAGGATTCATCACTCCTCGGGTTTTGGC